CTATTCACAGCAGGAGAAATCCACTTTCAAGAATACTTTCATGATTCTTGATCTCGATCTAGATTTACCGACAGCCTAGTTCTAGACTCTAGATTTATTCACAGCAGGAAAAAATCCACGTTAAATACTTTCACCATTCTTGATATCGTTCTAAGATTCACATATAGATCTAGCCTAGACCTAGACAAAGTATCTAGATCTTGGAATTTAGTGCACAGCAAGAAAAATCCACTTTCAATATTAAATAGGTTATAGAAATATCACAGATCTAGATTCTACTTTCATTTCATGATTCTTATTGATCTCGATTTAGATCTAGATCTCGATTCTAGATCTCGATTCTAGATCTCGATTCTAGATCTCATCTAGACACTGTGCACAAAATACACTTATCCTTCGGCGTGCGCGCTAAATCCACTGCAGGAGAAATCTACTTTCAATACTTTAATGATTTTTATCTTGATCTAGATTAGATATTAGATCTAGCCATAGATTACACACGAACACACTGAACACAAAATATCCTTCGGCGCAGTTCGGCGTGCGCGCTAAATCCACTGCAGAAGAAATCTACTTTCAATATTTTCATGATTTTTAAAAAATCTTGATCTAGATATTAGATCTAGACATACACGCACATGCGACTACACGCAGGACGTAAACCGGGCTACGATTGGCTGAACCTTTGACTTTGACCAATGAATTCATTAAGTTGGCCTACGGTAGGCTACTCTTGGCGCTTTAGACAACACCCTCCCTGTCACTCTCACCACCCTCAATCTGCACTGCTTTCTGGCTTCCTCTATCTCTTCCTTTCTCTCTCCTTCTCTCTCTCTCTCTCTCTCTCTCTCTCTCTCTCTCTCAAGGTAGGGTAACAAATGATAAAGTCTTCACCTTGTAACATGTATTACTACTTGATTCTCCTTCTCTCTCTCTCCCTCTCTCTCCCCCCTCTCTCTCTCTATCTTCACCTTGTAACATGTATTACTACTTGATTCTCCTTCTCTCTCTCTCTGTCTCCCTCTCTCTCTCTCTCTCTATCTTCACCTTGTAACATGTATTACTACTTGATTCTCCTTCTCTCTCTCTCCCTCTCTCTCCCCCCCCTCTCTCTCTCTATCTTCACCTTGTAACATGTATTACTACTTGATTCTTCTTCTTCATCTTTTTCTTCTAGTTCTCCCCTTCCTCCTCCTCCTCCTCCTGGGGCCCCTCAGGACATGCAGCCGGCAGAGAGGGTCATCGAGTACCCTCCAAACACGGTATCTCTGGTGACATGGTATAGGTTCAATGCCCTGGTCTTTCCCCAACTCGTTTATCTAAGGGCTCATATTTTGGTCATTCGACACCGTTCAAATGCGCCCTTTTTT